TAGTGTACATGCTGTGTGGAAGACTGTAGTGTAGTAATCACTTTCCTTTGTGTTTTGTTGGCACCTACTTATTAGCTATTTATAGTGTACATGCTGTGTGGAAGACTGTAGTGTAGTAATCACTTTCCTTTGTGTTTTGTTGGCACCTACTTATTAGCTATTTATGTATGGTTTTCCCCCTATGTTATGGTGTTCACTCACCCAAGATACAATATGTGCAAAATGATACAGTAAGGGTCCTAGAAAAATAACCTCGACCCTCTGGCAGACTCCCACAGTCTTCTCTCGGCCATAGGGAAGGAAAGCCCCAGTCAACCCTCAAGAGTTCTAGGCATTCAACTCCTTAGTCGAATTTCAAGCACTTGGTACCTTATCAGAAATAAACCTAAGGCACAATCATAGAGTCCTCGGCTCCACCGACTCATCAAGCCGACACTCTAGTGTCGACATGAAAGGCTCATAGAGTCCTCGGCTCCACCGACTCATCAAGCCGACACTCTAGTGTCGACATGAAAGGCGATATGAGTCGACACGAGAGATCCTGAACTCCCAAACAAGTCGACATCTCCATATCAACTCAAAAGATGGTTATTAGCTTAGATGAGAAGACATTCAACCAGTCGGATAGACCGACACTCCTAAGTCGATGCGAAAGACGGTACCGGAGGATGATCCTATTTAGGGCACTCGACCACTCAATAGGCATTTCTCAGAAATGACTTAAGGGACATTCTTTGTTGTCGACTAAATTGAGGACTCGACCCCGGCCTCAAGCCTCTCCTCCAAAGCCAATGTTGATATCTCAGTCCACTTTGGACAAGTCTTATCGAGATTTTGGCCTAATAGATCTTCATGACTTGTCAATTCAATCACTTCCCTAAAAATACGCAGACACTCTCTCCCATATTGAAGTGACTCCCCCTTCAGTCACCAGCCAACATCTGTAAAGCGAGGGACTACTCAATATGCTCACGTGACTTCTGCCATACTCACAAGTCACTTCTCGGACATCACGGAGACACCATCTCTCATGCTGAAATAACTTCCCCTCCAGTCGCTAGACGACATCTGCAGAGCGAGGGATGACTTACCTTTTAGCTCACACTTTGTCACCGCCATTCTGAATGGTCGAAATAACCAGTCTACCATGGACATCCACTCTATATATGGAGGCTGTTCACCATCAGAAAAGGGGGAGGGGGGGAAAACTCTCGAAAAAAACTCTCGTAGAAATTTAAATCTTCCTCCTGATCTAAACCTGGGAGATGATCATCTCTAATGCACATAGCATAAGAACACATAGTTCTAAACTCCGCTCAAGTTTAAATTCATCAACTAACTTGACCGTTGGAGGAATCACGGGGGAACCGGTCCCCGCCCTCTCACGGGTTCTTCTTGTCTGTGTAGTGTGGACATCAAACCCTCGTTCAAAAACTAGGCATAAAGTCGAAGAAGGGAGTGGGCCCCCATCATCCTTCATCATCCCGCAAGCATCCTCTCCTGGATCAATCGGCTGTTTGATATCGAGCATCAATACCCTAGAACCTACCTTTAAAGTAAGATCATTTTATAACAATCATCCTTTATTTTCAATTTATAAATAAAATATCTTTAAAGGATTTTTTCCCCTTGTTGTGATCAACCACATCGATCAACTTTTTTGTTTATTTTTTTAACAATTAACATCATCTAACCTAAATTAAGAATAATATATCCAATATATTTGGTATTTAACAACTAATTATTATAAGAAAATCCAAAAAAAAAACTTGATCTAAAAGTGAGTCATTGTGGTTGATTACAACAAAAAATCACTTAGGCTTCGTTTGGATAACATGGTATTTTTCTTGTTGTGTTTTTTTAAAAAAACACTATGGGGTTATATTTTTCCCTTAAACAAATTTTAAAATACCACATTAAGTTTTTTGGTCAACACTAATTTGACTCATTACAACATTAGTAGTAAACATATTATTAATATATTATATATTAATTATAATAAAATATATTATAAATAAAATATTATAATATTTAGGTTATATTATTATAGTATTATAATTATTAAATATAATGCAATATAATATTGTATGATGTATTATAATATTATATTATACTTTAAAGAATTATATTATATTATAATTATTACATACTATTTTCAAATAATTATATATTTAATTATTTTGGTTTTTATTATATAATATATTGATATTTTATATATTATATTATATTTACTATACAATATATTATTATAATATTATTATTATATTGATATTTTATTATTAAATATGTTACCATTATATAATATTTTATGATTACTAATTTATTACGATTTATTTATTAAAAAGTTAATAATACTATAGCGATTATACTATTGCATAGTATATTATTATATCATTATTTATTATTAGTTACTTTTTTTTATTTTTACCACATTATTTATATTTTATTATTATTTATTATTATATAATACACTATTAACATATAAAATACTAGTATTTAATATGTTATTATATTATATATTTTTTTATTTATTATATTTTTATTTTATTTAATAAATATTACTAATATATTAGATTAACTATAATATAATATAGTATAGTATAATATAATAAGCATGTTGATAATAACTCTATGTTAATTACATTTAATATATTATGTTAGATATTATATTAACACATTCCCAAACTCAAGACCAAAACACCAAACTTAAAAACACTTGAAAGATGTTTTGAAAAAAGTATTGTGTTTTTGGTTTGAGGATGATTTAGCTTAAAAAACATCATTGTTTCCAAACGCATGGTGTTTTATTTTTGGTAAAAATAACATAGAAACAAATAAAACATCATAGTATCCAAACGGGGGCTTAAAAATAGCTTACATGTACATTGATAATAATAAAAAATGTAAAATGAACCTATTTTAAAGTTGGTTTATAGGAAAAACACTTTCGATTTTTTATTTGTAGCTTTCAAGTAAATTATTTTATTTTGAGAATAATGAACTTTGAAAATGTTTCCTATCATGCATTCTTGTTGGGTCAAATCACGCTTGTGAGACCAAACAAAGCATGTGTAGTACGTCAAATCATGACTTAGGCGAGGCGCAAACCTTCGCAAGACTACTCATTGTAGGGTCGAAAAATTGATGATTGGATTGATTCTCTTGTTTTAAGAAAACTGGGTTCGATCACTTGGTACGAAATCCTTACAATCACTCACGATCTCTCGATTACAGAGGAAGAGAAG